AAAACATTAAGGTCACAAAGTCCAATAGAAAACATTTAGTCATACCTTGTTGCAGTCAAACGTACGGAGCCCCCCTGGTGGCATTGGATATAAAATAAATAATGCGTGGCCACAAGATAATTATTGCCATCATTTCCATGCAGAAACTGTGGATTGTTAACATGGACAAGTTTGAATTAATTTAATTTTACTTTAATATAGGAATGAATTACAATGACATACTTCAGTCACTTGCGGTTAGGCATGGAGTAATTCTTAGCAAGAGACAACACAACACAACACACAAATGAGACTTCATTATGTCTTCTTCGCGGGGTTTGCAGCTTTCTGATGACGTCACTTCATAACGTTCCCATGGCAACAGGAGGAAAATTGCTGTTCTTGTGTGAAGTACACGCAAGATTTTTCAACTTTCTGCCAAGATATATGTGACTTTTTTGCAACGAAAATCTGAGATTATGAAATCATGCATATATGCATCATTTGAAAATAAATAAATGTGCGGACTTTGGCTGATTATGCGTTGAATTATGCGATCGCATAATCACGTTTTTCTGGAGGGACTGCATTTAGCATTACCAACAGTGACATGTCAGGCTTCACTTAGACATAAGCTCCTCCAGCCCATCATAGCATTATTATTGACATTACACTCACCATGATAATAATAACAAAGCTACTCTTGAATACAAAAGCAGACTATAATACCAAATAAATTACCAAATTAACGCATTAACTATCTCGTGGCCACGCGTTATTATCTTGTGGCCACGCATTATTATCTCGTATGCATTTTTTTGTTTATCCAATGTCCCCAGGGGTGCTCCGTAGAATTAGAGGAATTTTAATTTTAATTTAATTTTACTTTATTTTTTTAATCATTGAAATAAAGAAAATTGGGGAAATATCAGAAATGTTGGCCTGAGCATGTTGAAATGAGCATGTTAATGTCTGCAAAAGCAGAGCTGGCATGCTGAGCCTCGTCAGGGGCCCAAAGAGACAAAATAAGCAAACTTGTGTTGGAAATGCTAGCTTACAAGCCATGGGATGAGGGCATTTTGTTAGCATTGTTATTAAAGGGTAACGAGTTTTACAGGTTTTAAAGCTTTTGTTGTAATGTGCTGCAGCTAAATAGCTAAATAGGTATCTAGCCTTCTAGCTGATGTTAGCAGTACAGTATTTTTTGGAGTGCAAAGCCAAGGTGCAACACTTATCTATCTTTTGGGCAATGATTTTTTTCTCAAATGTGTGCACAGTTTCTGTTGGACTTTAACCATATGCAGGGACACCTAAAAGCTACAGACTGACTGAGGATGTCAAGAAAATATAATCATCAATTATTTCTGATGTCCAACTCTGCAAAGATGGAAAAATAGCTCAGCAGCTCTCAAATGTCACAAAGTGTCCCATGGTATCATTGCAGGTGTTAGCCCTTAGCTGGCATGTCTGCTGTACTGTATATTCACAAGCTTGCTTGTATCTATTGTGTGACTTCCATTGCACAACAGGGCCTCAAGTAATGTTTGACTTGGTTCACAGTTCACAGAGAAAGAGAGATAATGCATTAAATGTCCTTTTACTAATCTTGTCAATGCAATAGTGACTCCAGGACACAGCTGAAGCTGGATCAGCCTATTGCACAAAGGCTTGTACCATTGTTTGCTCCACAATGCCTGGCAGTGTACATCATTCAGCTGTGTTGCTGAGAAAATCATCCCGGCTAGTGGCAACAATGGCGATACACACGGCTGATCTGATTGCAGTGCAGGAGCGTTCGCTTTCATCTGTAATGCTGGAAAACAGATCATGTAGCTGGAGCTCTTATCTCGGTGATGGATGCTGACAGCCAACACAGGCTCCCTGCACTTCCTCCAGTTTTTTTTCTCCTAGCTCCTAATCTTTTATTTCCTCTTCTGCACCTCTCCCAATTGCTGTTCTTTTGCTCCTTTCTCCCCTCCCTTATTCCTCAACCTGTCTCTACACCTGCTTCTTAATGTCTTTAAACTCTTTCTCTGCCTGTAAAGTGCCTACCCATGATTTCTGTGACATATTTTATTTCGATCCTATTTCTTCCCTTCCTTCAATTGTTGCTGCTTCCATCTACCCAGCCTATTACTCACATCTTCTTCTTTTCCATCCTCTAAACTCTCCCTCCCTCCATCCATCGCTCTTGCCTAAAATCCTTCCCTTTTCTCACCTCCCATACTAATTCAGTACCTTTCTCTCTTTCAACACCATTCTTCACCTCTCCCTTACACTTCCATCCACACCCTGCATCCATTCATTTCTTGTTTTATCAGTCTCTTCATCGCTTGCTCGGGCCAGCTCTAAGAGCCGCATGTAGCCCCCATCGCCTGATCTTGAGAAGATAGCTGATCCCACTGATGCTATTTTAAGCCTGTCATGCATACTCCCCCTCCTCTTCCCTTCCACGGAGAGCTGGCAGCCACAAAGAGGGACATGAAACATGCATTCTTCCCTCACAACCAGACTTTCACTTCCTGATTGTGACTTTGAAATCAGTATAATTAACTGCATTGTCAGGGGACGAGTCAGTCTGACAGAAATAGCAGATTTCTCTCCATATGCTGTTGCAAAATAGATGATTTAATTGTCTTGAAGTTTTGTCAGAGGACTTGGAGAAGGTAGAAGACAATTATTTTATGGTTAATGTGGATTTCTTTTAACAGTGTGTGTGTCTGCGTCATTCACCAAGATAAAAAATGTCATCACGATTCCTGCTCAATTTCCTATAACTGATTAGTCTCTTGCTGAGTCCCACTAGGCACCCTGAAAACTGAACCCTTATAGACTTTAATTGACATCATCTGCATGATCGGTCAAAGTGCCCAAAGTGGAATAAGTTTCTTTATGAAGATTGAGTCTGAAGAGTCCGAAATAATTATCTGGGGCAGAGTCCTTTCCCTGGCCAGGAAAGGGCATGAGTCATATTTCCTTCTCTTTGTTGCTCTCTTTCTGAATTTAATAATTCCCTTTATGTTATTAGTCAACATAGTCAGATCTTTATTTTACACGGGAGTAGACACAGCACTTTTTGCTACATATCTTCTCCTGTGTATTGTGTTCTTGCCAGCTCTTTCAATATGTATGTTTTATCATTTCTGACTTCTCCTGTTAATTAGATATTCCTTTATTTTGTCCCACAATGGGGACATTTGAATTTGATGACACCACTTTTTCTCAGAGTGCAAAGCAAAGAGAAAATAAAGGAGTGTGTGAATATATGGTGTGGACGTAAGACAAAGCTTGTATTTTTTTGTGTGCTTTACTCACCTGTCATTTCCAACTCTGCACTTGCTCACCTACCCAGCAGACAGCGTTGTCAAGCTTTCCCCTTCTGCAGATCACCTGATTCAACTGCTTGCCTGAACAAATGGCTCTCATTTCCTCATTACCCTCTCAGTACATATAGCGGGCAGTTTACCATTGTTGTTTTTCAGATTGTTCAACTTGCTTTAACTGATGGTTTCTTGTATGTTTTGCCTGTCAGTCTCTTGTTTTGTTGTGGCGCTTCTTGCTTGCAGCTTGTTGCCAGCTTGCCTGACCTTCAAAAGCCTCTTAATTATAATCGTTTTTATCTAGATATTCTGCTTGTGTGTCTTAACTCGTGACATAAAACCCCCCACCATGCTCAATTAATGAGATGCTTGTTATGTACAAAGAACACATATGGACTGTATATGAACTGTGGGATCTTAATTTACTACCATTTTCCTGTTTACTTATTTATTACTTTCTATATAATAAACAGTCTGTATTTTACTCTATAGTGAGCAGTAAATTGAGATTGTAGTCATCATCACTGTGTGTCATCTGTAGAGGTATGCATAAAATGGAAAGCACTGCATTGTGGGAGCATAAAATAGTGCATATACCATGGCACTCCTTTTTTTGTTCTGTTGTGAGAATTTGTGAGGCAGTGTGTATTTCACACTCTGAATTTGGACATTAAAATAAAAGGCTTTGAGAGTAATTATATAAAAGTTCATCAAAATTTAATGAGAAGCATAAGTATATGAATGCCACTATAGTACTACCATATATTTAATAAATAGAAGGTGATTTTGGACAACAACTCACCTTAACAAGAAATTTTAAACATGTCTGTAGATTGCATGTCATCATAAAGTCAATACTAATGTTGTTTTATTTCATGAAACTCAACTCATCACTGAACTCATTAAAAACATTTTACATCTGTGTATTGGATGCAAATTTTTTTTTTTTTCCTTTGGGTGATTGAATGTAATGTGAGGATATCTTATTTCAAGTAAACCCTGATAGATGCAGAATTGTATGTTATTCAGCTAGGATCTAACCACAAAGGCTGATGTTGCCCAATAATATTACCATCTGTCATGTCCCGGCTCTGGACCGTGAAAAAAACGAGGAGACGCAGTTGAAAGGACAAATTATAAGTAATTTATTTAAACATAACAACCTAAATGCAACCCGAAAAAGAACTAAATAGAGGATGAGGTGTGTTTGTCAGTAACATCAGTAGTGAAAGTGTGTGTATGCATGAGTGTAATGTATAATGAAAAGTAAATGTTGGATGTTAAAACACAACTACTCCGAATATCAGAAATGATAATAAGATAGAGAGAGCGAGAGAGCAACTGTCAGCCAAAGAGGCGGGGCTTTTATAGCTGAGAAACACCGGGCCCAAGTGCTTCCGCCTATGCCGATTGGTCCAACCCACAAGTACCTGCTGCCTTAAAAGGAAGAGGAAACATTAGAGCCACTCAGGGGACCGTCACACATCCTACAAACATAAACGCTAAACAATAGTTCATTATGAGCGTGATGCCATTTTGCAACTGAGGTGGAGCCGATCAGTCATCTGAAAGTACTAATCTCAAATGAATTATCCATTTTATTTAATTGTTTTTCTTGACGATGTGTGGGCCCCAGACGATAGATAACCACCAAAGAAAAATCTGATGAGAGCTGAAAATAAATACAAGTCATAGGCGCTGTACAGAATGTCTTGTTTATTGGTTGTTGTCATACATTTTCAAAATTACTATATGCTTCGTATCTAAAGACTCTCAGATGAATTGTACTGTCTCTAAAGGCTGACGTAGCAACACCTGGAATACAGGGCAACTCTCACCATGGATGTTTGGCTGTTGACAAATAACACTCAGTTTCATTTCTGAAAGTAAGTTTAAGATCAAAAAAACTTTGACACACAGGTCTTTATATAATTCCAGAATCGCCAAGGTAGTACTTCATATTTTCTGAATGATACATGGTGAAACAAGTATTTTCATGAACTATATTGATATGCCCTTGGTGAGAATCACTCTGTCTTGCAGGAGCTCAGTCACACTGCAGAGTTGACTTTTTATTTGATAATGTTATACACTTGTGGAGGAACAGCAGACACTATCAACACATTTGTGCTTATCTTTTTTTTTCTTTTTTTGCAAGTTTTCTTTTTTCTGTTAAATATCAGTTTGACATAATCTTTTTCACAAGAACAGACTAAGTTTAAATCTGTTTATACGTTTTGTATACCAACATGCTCACAATGTTTCTGAACCATTTTTTCTTTTTCTTATTAGTGTCAGAACAACAATAATCAAAACAGACGCCCTTTTGTTTTGAACAGTATGTGCCAGATCTACCATGGTGGTATCAGGATAATGTGATTTTCTTTGTGGTTCGCAGGCTCATCAAAGGCAGGAGGAAAATAAAGAGGGCCTGGAGTCATGTACACAGGCTTCACTAGCAGGGCATGACGATAACTTAAGGAAAGAAAATCACAGACAGTAGTCGGGCACTCCAAAACAACAACTGACAAATTCAACATTAGTTCACAGTCTCTCTTCATTTTCATACATCACATTTGACTTAAAACAAAATTTCAGTCATTTATCAATAAGATTTACATCATCTGTTGTTCTTTTCAGGCCCAAAGAACTAAACATCATCTCACGTGCTCTGAATGTGAATGATCTATAATCTTTCTCTCTCATGACAGACACATTATCTGTGGCTGTGTGTGCATGTAAGGTGAATATTAACATATTTATCTCTTTTTCAAATACTTTTTTGTTTGTGTTTCTTAGTTAACTTTATACATTGTGCAAAAACAGCTGTCGTCTAATCTAGAAGGCCACCAGGTGTCTTGATATTCATTTTCACTCTGTGTCTGGTCAACAGCATTTCTAATCCCGTCTCATGACAAATCTGTTTGAGAATGCTCTCATTTCTGTAACTGATCAACCTTGTTTTTGAATTATCTCAAGGTATACAAACTCAACACATTTTTTTTTTTTAGCTTGCTTTCATGGTTAAACAGGGCTGAATATGAACAGCACAAGGCTAACTACTGCAGATGTCAAAAATAACTGTTCTCTCTCGGCAATCAGAGACTGTTCCCTTTCACATGAATCATGTGTGCACCAGTTTATTCAAATGGTTTACTGTGTTTGTATAATTTGGCCATATAATAATTGTACCAGCAACTGAAAAATCTTGATACAGTATCTGTTCTCAGAAAGCTTAACCAAGCAGAAAGCAACCAGAGGCAAACTACTGTCTGGCCTAACGCTCAAAACCAAGCTATTTCCTCCTGTATTTATAAGCTGCAGACATGTGAATTTTAATCATAAGCCCTCATTGTTTGTAACTGGTCGGTGTGAACCTACTGTACTGCATGTAATCCAACAGAAATCTGTGAAAATAAATTTTTTCCTTTGGTTCAGACCAGGAAAACTAACAAGGAATACAATACCTGTACAAAGATGTATATATAGTGCAGTCAGTTTGGTGTGTGTTGGCTCTTTCTATTCTAGCACAGAGATTTGAAATGAAACAAGCTGACTAATTCTCAGCTTTAACTTGAGAATGTTTACATTCACAGGGGATAACAGGTTGGGAAATGCTGAAATGTCGCACCCAAATTAAGTTGTCTTATTCAATATTTGGTTGCAAATCCTTTTTAGTCAATGCTGCCCAATCTGTCAGGCCTATACTGCAGCTGTCCCTTCATGCTGGTTTTATCGGCTTTTTGCATTCAGTCTGGTATTCAGCAGTAAAACACATGGACACAGTTAGATTGAGGTGAAGTGACTGACTTGATCAGTCAACAAAGCTTTGTTGCCTTGCCTGTTCACCCAAAATGGATGTAAACAGAAGTTAGAAGCTGAAAGTCAGCACTTTTGCCTCATAGTCATTGTTTCATTTCAACGCCAATGTCCTGGAGAACAGAGCCGAAACAAAAAACATATCACTGTCCTAACACTTTCTGACTGCACTGTACGGTAACAAAGCTTCAGGGTTACAGCTGAACAGCTTGTACCTTTTGAGTTTTGAACAAACATTCCTTTTTGTTTTTTGGTTGTTTGTTTTTTAAGGCCTTAACATGTTTTCAGATCTATTGATTGAAATTCAGCATCGCTGAAATGTCAGTGCCTCTGTGGCACTGTCAGACGAATGTGCTGACAATCTGTTTATGACACTGTTGTCTTGAAAAGCGAGTAGCTTATCATTTGTTATAGTGGTAAATATATATGTTATAGGTGTGTATTATATTTTCCCTCGTCCCTGATGGCCCAACACTCTAAATGATAAAACAAGAATGGCTGTATTACATTAGCGTCATTCTACTGCATCACTAAGAACAGCGGAGCAGCCACACCTCATGGATTTGTGTGTTATATACAGAGAGTATAATACATTATTCTGGTTAGGTATGATTTATGATGTTTATTTACATATGATATGTAGTCTGGATTAACATATAACAACTTCAACTGATAAGATAAATGATTTTAAAATGAAAATGTAATATTCCAGCAATGTAGAAAAATAAGTCATATTCATAGTATCGACATGAGGAAAATGGTTGGTTTTTTTATCTAGCACCTATTGCAACCGAATTACTTTATACTATAATAAACCACAGAAGACATATGGGCACCACTGTATATAACTAGAAATTTCTTACTACCCATGAATCACTTCTCTTACATGAAATACATTTTATGGGCAACATAAGGGCATTTGATAATCTATTAATTTAAAGGCCTTTAGATAGAAAAATAAGTATAATAGAACATATTTGTTTACTTGTTAATTTCTATTAACATAGGGTTATTTTTAAATAAACTGATCTTTGAATAAATTCATACTATGCATATCCTATTTGTGTGCTCTTAATTCAACTTTATACTTTGTGCTTTGTAAAAGCTATGATTGTTTATAAAGCCCACTCCTCTGCAGTTTCATAGGCTGCAATAACATATAATGAGAAGTTTTAATCAAGTTCCTCTGTGAAATTGCTTTGTCTCCTCTGTTTTTATTGTCTTTCTACTACCAAGAAGGTAATTCTGAACTTCATCTATAGTTATTTCATCAATATCTTTAACTTCCTAACCCAAACTAAATCTTTCATCACAGCTCTCTGTCACACTATTCATAAATACCTTGTTTTTTACCTGAATCTATGAACAAGAAACATATGTCACTGCAAGCAGCTCTTTATCAGTCGTACCATCTACTTCCTCTTGTGAATACCTAAACTAAACCTTATCAAATTTGTCTCGTACATTGAGCATATAAGTTATTTTCTTTTGTACCAATACAAGATTTTAACATCTGGAACTCTAATTTTCATTTAAATCCTTCCTTTTTTTATATACGTCTCTCCTAAAACAGAATATGTGATGTTAATAACACTACCTGTTAAAATAAAAAACTAATCTGACAATGATTGTGTTAAATGAATGAATAGCATTTATCATCTGGATTACCATCAACTCATCAAAGAAATGTTTTATGTTTACAACATCACTGAATGTCTGTGTGCTTTTTTTCTCATTTGCTGTGGTCAAAAATTTACTTTGCACATTGAAATAAATTCTACATCATGCTGTCAGTAACATGTCATCCATTAAGAGTCTTAACTCATAACAACCCACTATGTAAACAAAATTGTTCTTGAATTGTGCTCTTTTAAAAACAGCTGTCCGCCATCTTTGTTTTTGTAACCACATCACAATACATCCCATTGACTTTGACAGAGCCAGGAGTATATAAATGAATACATGAAGAATGGCTAATTTTCATCAAACACATGAACAGTTTGTCTTTGTCAGTAATACAGGGGCTTTGTTAATAACTGTAAACATGAATCACGTCTATCAGCTCTATCACCAGACCAATAATTATTGATTACTATGTCAACAGTCAGGGTAGAAAGCATCAATCTATGTGTTGACAGGGTTAACTTAAATAGCAAAAGGTCTGTATGTGTTTACTGTAGGTGTTAAATTGAGCACAATTTAAATAACATCAAGATTGATTGTTCTGTGTGATTGTATGTGGGAATGAATATTTACAAGTGTCATGTTCTGTTCATTCTATTAATGCAATTGGCAAAATCTCCCATTATAAGTGTGTGTGAAGGTGTGTTAAATGTGGACTTTTCTTTTTTGAAGCTCTGTATTTCCTCATGGTCTGATCATCAAATCATTCTTTTCCTTCACAGAGTAACCTGGGTAGTGCTCCACATCTAGCCAACATGATAAAAAATCAATGCAATGCAGGGCAGTTAGATTCACTTGGGATACGTTTACAATATAACTGATATTACAAGAAGAAAATTAATTGTGGTTCTGATGAAATTGTACCTCCTCCTGCTTCAGAAGTCCCCAAATGTTTCCTAAAAGTTAAGTTATCGACCTGGCTGTTTACGCCACCCTGGCAGCAGAGAGCTCTAGATGTATTTATAGTGAGAGCACTGTCGGGACAGCATGAATTATTAATGGGTCCTGATGCAGATTTATCTGTGACCTCTAGGCCACCTGGGTGCGAACACACACACAAACACACACATTCACATACTAAATCAGTGTTTGTCTTTGTGGTTTTTCAGTGAAATGATGACAGATGACAGTGTGTGCAGTCCAGTAACCCTCAGTAACCCCAAGTGTAGCCATTAGCAATCTTTCGGTTGGTTGATGGGTTCACAGAGGATGTCTTTTGTCCACCTGGATTGGTCCTCAGGGATAAATTATTCAAAGATCTGAAGCATTCAGCAAGGTACAGCACATACTTACAGTACATACAGTAGTCCTAAACTACATACACACACATACATACTACATATGTCATAAGAGAAGAGTCTGGTTTGTATGCTTCTTACTAGCTTCTGTGTAGACTCTCAACCTACATGGCATAAAGGTGAAGTTTCCCCCTATAAACTGGACTCAAATGAGTTTAGTGTTATCTCTCTTTTGCTGCAAAAGTCATGATCAAAAAACCTGTAAACTGATCCTTGGCCTCGTGTGTCTGCTCTCTCTGTCCTGTTTCCTGGCTCAAAGGCGGTATTTTCTCAGCAGGTCGGCCTGCCACATGTACTTCCTCTCAGGGAACCTCTCTGGGATCTTGATCTTACGGAAGTCTTGAATGCACTTTTCCAGCTCCTCCTCAACCGTCAGCTTCTCTTTCGCCGGTCTTTTCTTGCAGGTGCTGGTGTCGCGGGAGCTCGCTGTAAGCGTGCGCAGCAGGTCACTCTTCCGCCGCTGTTCGGACTGCTGGAGCATTGCGATGGCGCCCTTTTTCAATGGCCTGTCCAGGGTTTGGACGTTGGCGTGGGGGTGTGATTGGCGGCTGACCGGGCCACAGATGACAGTTCCCTGGGGAGAGCTGGCTTCTGACTGGCTCTCAGAGCTGGAGGTGGAGAGCTCGTTGAAGGAGGTGCCACTCTCGCCCTCGCCATCGCCCTTGTGGTTCTTGCAGCAGCAGTCACATGGAGGGGAGGACCAACGTGACGGACCACCTGGAAAGAAATAGAACCAGAGAAGGGGCTAACATTAGAGTCTATGCAGAGCTATTATTTCCACCTTTTCTTTCTTTCAGGGCCAATCATCATGAAGAGAAAAACCAGACAATGACACAAAGAGAGCCACAAATTACTCTGACAGGAGAAGAAAGGCGAAGTAAGAAGCACTGAAGACTGACAAAGGAGGAAAGTCAGCTAACGCCAAATGGCCATCACCTAGAACAAAGTGACATGGCATCAGGGACAACTGGCTTGTTTCCAGTCTAATCACGGAAGTGAGCTGACTGACTGTGTGACAAGCCTGTATTGTTCAGAGAACTACCCTCGTAGATCCATGCTGTCACATAGAGCTTTGCAAAAACACAATGAAGGTCCAGATTTACATGCTGTAAATGTATTTACAGTATAACACTGATGGCAATAACATTCAGAGGAGCCACTGCAGTAAAAATGGAACGATGTGTAACTTTTCAAAGATTATCAGGTGCATGAGGAGAAACTGTATCAATACTGGTACAGAAAAACAATCTAGTAAACTGGAGTCTGTCAATTCAAAGATGAATAGAGATCAAACTGTATGTGCAGCTTGATTTCTCTGAAGTCTGCTGCGCTGTTCACCAGCCAACTGATTAATCTCTCACTGCAGTTCTTAGCAAGGGATATAAAACTCAGGAACAACACACATTCATGGTTAGATCAAACACCAAAAACCACTTTAAAATCAAAATGATTTGGAGAATTGTGTTAGACAAATAATCAATGTTGTGATTCAATTGAAACTTAAACTTAAATGAAAACCCAGTAAGCATTGGTTTTGTGATTATAAGGTCAAGAGATGTTGAGGTTATACATTGTTTCAGCAGAACTGATATGAGTAAAGGTATTGCAAGTCACCATTCATCAATCATTTTGATACTATTGAAAAAAAGTTTTATATAATCTAGACATCTAAAAAGAGTTTACTGGCAAACAAGCTGATTTAGTATTTAAAAAAACATACTTTGCAACCTTTTTGCTTTTTTTTAACTTTTGGTATTTTCATCCTCCTCCTGTGCAATGCTTAGAAGTGAAGTGGTATGTCAGAGGAGGATTTCTACTGAATTGCTTTCCTCACAAACATACAATCAGTTGATTTGAGCACCACTGTTTTCACCTGACCCAGATCTTCCACAATCATTGCTGAAAGGAATCAATTGCCCAGCCTAGCCTCTGAATGAGCATACGGTAGGTCGAAAGACCACACCTTTCACTGCAGGAAGCAGCCATTTATTTTTCATGCTAACCTCCTGAATAATTGAAGGGGTATCTGTGGCTGATGGACTCATCTCTGTTTAGTGAGGAGCAAGATCAAAACCCTTGAGGCAAACACTCGCATACACCCACAAACCACCCCCCACCCTCCACCCCTTCTGATTTTGAGGCCTGCCCCTACCATTGACAGTACCACACACATACAAGCACAGCCTCCGCATCGAGTTCAATAGTACCATCATTTCTTTTCATGTGCTGTTGAGCATTTCGCTTCAAACGAGATAGTAAAAGACTATAAATAACACTGCTTAAAATAAATGCCCCTCTGCTTTTACTTCCCTTTGTCCTCAGCGGCATTTTTAGCTCATTTTTAAAGAGACAGCAGAACAGAAATCAATTCATCCAACCAAGATTTGCTCCTCTGAGTAAAACTCATAAACAGCTACGTATCGTGACTGCATTTATGTGAGTATAAATAGAAGAAATATGACTTTGACACCGACTCCCACTGTTAAGTCTAAACTGCAGGAGGACTAACATTCAGTAAAGAAACTAATACACAGACACACACACACACATGGCGGCCTACTGTATGTGAAATAAACATCACCCATCAAAGGCAGTGACAGAAATGGAACGCAACACCCTTTGTCAGCGGTAATTAAAGAGATCCAGAGCTGCTTTGGGTGACATTTACAGCATTCACATGCACAAACCTTTATGCACAAACACACTGGCTTCAGACAAAGAAAGAGAATATGCTATCATAATACAATAGTGTAATTTGCAGGTACACAAACAATTAGAAATGTATCAGCCTCAGATAAAAAGTTGTATTCGTTATACAATTGCAGGATAGATAATGTAACATCATGCATGCTAGGCCCAATTACGTCTCTCCCAACCTTTGTTTAGGGACACGAGTTAATTTATGTCACCAAGTGAATAGGTAGCCCTGATCGATGAGATGCAGACTTGTAATTGGTGTTTTGAAAAATGGCCCCAGACTGTGGTGAATAGCTAAATCTGCCAGCAGCCAGTCTGACTGTCCAAATAAAATTAATGCGATGAGACGGGTAAAGCTGCTGTAACAAATGTCTTAAAGAGCCATGTTATGTGTGTGTGCTTGGCCTTGCATCTGTACATTTGATATATGACAATCAGATTAAACTTTGGTTTAATAATTATATCCATCTCCATAAAGCGCCATATAAGTCTTGACAGTGACATGCTGCTTTTATTTACAGGTGTTGTGAATGGCTATTAGCCTTGCTAACACTAAAGACTAGTAGGGAGGGGTCTGATTTATTATTTTCACCAGTTGGATTTCCTGTCAAACCTTTAGCTTCATGACAAATTGGCGGGTAAATAATTAAATTGAGGACACCACTTCCAGGGACTTCTAAGCACTGATAACAGATTTGTAAAACAAGTCATTGTGGTGTCTCTACCCTCATCTACACAGTGATACTGTAATTATGTTCCCAAAAGGATATATCAGTGAGTAGTGTTGATGGGTCATAGCACACTGAGGCATGTTAGTAGTAAAACCAATTTCCTCTGCTAATTGAAGTGAAAATTATTTCATTGATATTTACACTGTATGTTTACAATGTCTTGCTAATTGAGGTGAAAATTAAACCACTGTTTACGTTATGTTTATTCAGGTTTTTCCTTTAATTTTCTGTCTGCTTGAACTCAACTCTTAAATGCTCCTGCTAGCATACAAAATCACAAAGGAAACTGTCCAATATATTGATCCTGGTCCAGTACAAGGGCCCTTAATTTCAGGCTGTATAGATAAGATATGTAAGTTTATAAAATATCAGGTAACATTATAATAACACAGCTAATTTTATTCTGCAATAAACAATCCACTATTTTCCCCAGTTGGTCTGCTTGACAATTAAGGGTCAAAACATTTACTTCAAACTTTGTATCTGAGACACTTCAGGTCTAATTTTGCCTAACCATAGATGAATTATGCATGTTGGCAGTGTGCTCTGGAGCTTCCAAATTTCCTCTGATGGAGGTGCCATAATTAAAGGTCAAGGTTTCAGAGTCTAAAGGCTATACCTGCCATCCAAACTGATTCTAATTATACTGGGAAGGAATGATGCATCTTGTTACTGAGTGGCCCAAAGGATGCCAGCATCCATCACTTTAGGTGGACAATTTTAATTGAAGTTTTGCTTGTTCATCCACATGAGACTATTTAAACTGCAGCAACAGTGATAGATTTCCGACAAACCTGAGCAATCCATATATTGGGGCAATATTTTGTCCATGTATTGTAGTTCTCTAAGTCAGGGCTTTGACCTGATATGTTTGTGTTCATGCTATCTAACAGGTAGCATGTATGTACAGATCTTGCCTAGTTTCCTCTTGTGAAAAAAAACATGATTATTAAAATAGTCTATTGGCTCCTGTCTAGTCATTGTCATAGATTACCTGTCTAAATGCCAAGAATTTGACAGTATGTCTCTGTGACAGGTAGGCGACTCTCCTGAAGGATCCACTCACTCAAAAAATAACCTACGGTTCATTTTTTATACCAGTCAGGAGATGTCTTGGGGAGAGGGCGTCCCCTCTTCCTGTCAATCACGCCCACGTGAAATTCGGTAATTTTAGAAAGGTGTAGAATAACTCATAAGAAGCAAGTAGGAGGTGCAGTTACTGTTGCAAGAATATGTCTGAATTTGAACTGAATACTAATGTTATTTTGTGTAACTTATGGCACCTTTTAACATTTACATGATTAAATCTTGTCTCCTGCACCTAGTTGCTTGTTCAACAGGAGGCTAAAAACAAGATCAAATTAGAGATTATAAAAACATTTTTAAATTTATTTATTGTCAAATTGCAGTTTAATTTAAATTGTAATTGAGGTGATTACACAATAAATAAAAATATCAAATTTTAAAAGAAGATATTTTTCTTTAAAACACACACTCCCTGGCTTAGTTATAGCATGTACACTCGATTTGTAATGTGCTTGAGACTTGTGTTTCTTCTATGCCCAGTAGTAAAGAGAAAAAACTGCTTTCCACACATGAATCAGTATGGCTGCGTAAGTATAAATGTTACAGTATTTGTATTTTTTTTATTTTGTATTTGTCTACAAATGTAGGCCTAGTATATGTGGCATCCTGTGCTGCCATGTGAGAGTAAGGTCATGCTTTCCTTCAGGGCTAAGTGTATATTTTTGTGGGTGTGTGTGTGTAAGTGCACATGGGCATGTGTACGTGCGCATGAATGTAACATGTGTAAGCTGATGCACCATGCTCCTGATGTAGGTCAGTTTGAGTGTTTTGCTGCAGTCTCCTTTCCTCCACATACATCATACATGCTGCGTGACACTGAGTGTGTGTATGTGAGGTTTGCACCCGCACAGCGTGTGCGTGCAAGCCTGTGGTCATCCCTCAGTGTGTAAGTGACATTGGCCTTGGAACTATTATCTGTATGCCGTTGGGCAGAGAAAAGGAGGCTGATGTCAGGTGGGGTTCCCATTCATGTCATCAGAGGTGTCAGACTTGTCGACCGTGCCTCTGGCCAGCATCACTCAGCACACACAACCTGCCTTTGTGTGTGTGTGTGTCAGTGTGTGTGTTGCTTTACACTGTGCAGCAGTTGATTCATGTGATCTCTTGTTGTTTCTCTTCCAGGGAGGTGGGCAGGAGGTCTGACCGAAGTCTAATGACTGTCACATGCTATTACACACACACGCAGATACGTAGACACACACA